GCAAAGCGTGGATCAAATTAAAAACGATGTTACTTTATTCACGTCTCCGAATAGAATGGCCGAGTTGCGGCACAATTCCATTCGGAGACCCACGCTTGCCGTGAATTATTTTGTCCAATCAAATTAGTTTTTCTTTGTTAATTTGTATCAATAATAGCCAAAATATCGTATTTTGAAAAATCACATGACATGAACTGACCATTACCTGAGTATTTGACCTGCCACTTAACAAGTTAATCCCCTAACAATAGGTTAATGGATTCTACTTCGTTTGATAGTGTTTTTGACACTAGATAAAAAAGATAAAAGAACCCATAAATAAATATACAAAAAAAACACATCACCTATCTACAAATTACTGCTGTTCTCTTTTTCCAGCAAAATTACATAATTGTATGGCTAAAGGCTTAAACAGTTTACTAATCCCTCATGCCAAATCTTCTGAGTAACACATATTATTTATTTTAGACAATTACCTGTACTTATTTTTTTCTTCAAAGACATTCCTTCTTTTTCGTCAAATAAAATACTATTACCAAATTTCTATACATATATCTGAAATTGTAACAGGAAATAAAATAAAGACTTTACTATATAATTCCTATAAAACGAGAATACCCAAAATGTTATGTTAAAATATCCACATACATTAATCTTAACCCAAATTGAAATATTAATTGACTAAAATTCAAAGTGAAATTTTATCTTTAATCATAACTAGTCATGTTGCAGATTTTATTTGACAAAATGAAATATGTCAGAAAGGACAGTAGCATTAATTGGTATATGCATTTACACCGAAATACTAATGAAAAAAAAACATAATACAAGGCATTTTTCCTCTACGTAAAACAGCTGATCTTATAGGCAAGGACGTAATTTCAGTGCAGGAAGGGGAGGGGGCACAACTTATGCAAAGAAAATCCCTTGACAAGTAAAAAAAAAGGTCACATGCGTCATTTTTGAGGAAGCAATATTGAATAATATATGCTGGCAATTTATTGGGGACACACACCCCAACCAATGTTTTTACAGATCTTACATTAGCCATTATAATAAGGCACATATAAAAAAAATCACAAAACAGGCACTTTCCTTAGGGTAAAAAGAAACACTAAAAGATATTGCTGGATATTTCACTGTAGGCAAAAAATTCTATTATCTTTCTAGTATAAATACATATACCAAAAATGTTACACAAGACCCTACTAAAAGTTTAATTTTTCTTTTGTGACCCCCCCCCCCCCCACAGACTTCCTCGCCTTCACAGTTTTATTATTGTGATTGCTACGCACGCTAACTCGAGAATTTTGCTTACGTTTCACATCCATTGAATTCAATATAAATGATAATTTGGACATTAAAACTTGTTTGAATGCAAAGAAAAACTCATTAGTAACGGACTAAAAATTTAAAAAAATAACAGTGTCAAAAAGTAATTTGCTCTTATTTTCAACTCCTTTCATAAGGGGGTAGAAAATTTTATCAATTGAAATCAAGCTTTAAAACATTACCAGATTTTCAAATATTCACGGAAATAGATAGATGAATCTCAAGTCTCTCAGTATGTTTAACTAATGCAAAATTGAACATATTGAGGAGGGGATGGTAAAATTGTTATTTCTTAAAGTTATATTCACAAGGGGACTATCATTGGAAATCGAATGCAGAAAATTTCCGAAAAAGGCATACTGTCAAGTCCTTCAGAATATAACAGAAAAGTCAGTAATTCTTATGCTTCTTTTTATTCATAATAGAAAGATAAGTGCAATTGTCCAGCGTCATTCACCAAAGGAGCCAAATGAATGTGGTTCAAACTTCGTTATGTTGAACTCGATGAGACGGAGAAAAAAACAGAGAGATATCCTAGAGTTCAAGATATTGAGGGTAAAATACTTAAGGAAAAAGTGTTTTGGACTTCAACATCATTTTGACATATCTATATCGAAATATCCGTGTTCGAGATAAGGAAGTTCAACTGTATTTTCATAACAAATTGTTGGATCTGCAAGTAGGTATCTAATTATAGTTCATTAAGATAATAACCAAATGACGAAGATCTCCACTAATATAACAAAATGTAAAGAAAAGTGAGATGACATAATTTTAAGATTTGCATTACAAATTTGAATCATGTTCCTTTGTTATTTTCTTTCTACAAGAACTAGGGTATACATATATACTTAATAATATTATATTTATGATCGATTTTGGCTAATCATAGTTTAATCTCTGAGATGCATTCAGGAAATGTAACCATTTACGCACACAGAAGGCGACGGACTACGATGTTTACCATGCACTGATCATGTGATTTATTATAACACGTAAAGTAATAAGGAACTTCTTAAATGCATTTTCCTTAAATTGCAAACATCTATACGTACAGTGACATAATGAACATAGGCGTCGGAAGCAAATTGAAAGTGGGGTGGCTAATTGAAAGTGGGGGGGGGGGGGAGTAAACCAACGGAAAAAGGTAAGCCCCAGTTTTCAATGCCTATATTTTGTCTATTTATGAAAAAAAAAGTGAGGGGGGGCTAGCCCCCCTCCAGCCCCCCCCGGTTCCGACGCCTATGATGAATGAACTTACGTTTTCTCTAGATGCGCACCGTCACGGTAGCTCAGTCGGTAGAGCGCTCGCTTCGTGATTGAAAGGTCGTGTGTTCGAATCACGGCCGCGTCTGACCTAAAAAAATAGGTAGCAACTGTTCCTTCGCCAAGCGCACGGCACTTTGGAGTGAAAGTTGTGGGTCTTTCGGATGAGACCTTAAGAACCGAGGCATCGCATTTTTCTTAGGGAAAAGGGAGCAATTATGATTTTTCCATTGAAAATGACCCTCTTCTTTAATACAATATAGGGTGCGTTATTTTGTTTTTCAGGGAAGCTTATATCAATTTTTTCATCTATTTTTGGTTAACTCAAATTTATTGAGACTAAAAGAAAATCAGTGTCATACCAGTTATGTAAATACATATATTTGGGTAGGAAAGATAAAGTGTTGGGCAGAGCGACCTTCTACCTGTCTTCTCGTTCTCGATGAGGGCAGATCAAAGGCGGATCCAGCGTCGGCGCCCCCTTCCCCCCTTCCCGTTTGAATTTATTTTTTTTTACATAAAAAAAACACCTCTTATTTGTAAGAATTCGTCAGCTTCCGGGGGTTTTGTTCACGGACCCCCACCAGGGCTTTATCCTGGACCCACTGGGGGCTTCAAAGCATCCCCCAGACCCCCTGCCTTCTACTGCGCCCTCCTCCCCCATTATGAAATTTCTTGGATCCGCCATTGTAGATCAATTCATCAGCTTTTCGAAAGAAATATAAAATAATGCTGTCTATTACTAAAATCTAAATCCAGAATTTTGTTTTATGCATATTTTTTCAAAGTGTTAAGTGTATCCATGGTAAAAAATGTTGATATACACTCATAACGCACTTTGAAAAAATTTTTCAAAGTGCGTTGATTTTGTCCCAGATTTAACGCACTTTGAAAAATCTTTTCAAAGTGCGTTATTTTTGTCCCAATTTTAACGCACTTTGAAAAAAAATTTTCAAAGTGCGGAATTTTTTCATAGTGCGTTGCCACAAAGCATATCGCCAGAAACGATAATAGCAAGAGTTGTCTCTACTTTGTTTTGTATCTATGACAGAAATACCCACTACTATTTTCGCAGACAAAAATGTAAGACTGTTTAGTCAGTGAAGATTTTCATAGTAAATGACAGATAGAGACTTTATTTGCCAACAACATTGACTTGCATTGTCCCTGTTGGCTAGGGCGACAATATAAACCCAAACAAAATGTCACAATATTTTCCAAGCTAATTAGGCGGTAGGAACGAGTGGTTAATATGCATATTTATCAAACGTTTGGGAACTATCATCATTTGCCAGTTCGATTATTCTGAAAAAAATAATACCTTTACCAGAACAAGAATTGAATACTTTATCTGTATTATCATTTTTGTGTCACCTGCAGAGCAGAGCGGCACTTAGGGATCACTCTACCCGGCGTCCGTTTGTCTGTCTTTCCGTCTGTCTAGCTGTCCGTCTGTCACACCTAGTATCTCAAGAACTATAAGAGATATGGACTTGATATTTTGCATATATATTGCTTGGCACTATGGCTTTTGTGAATTGCTATGGTTACTGACCTCGTGACCCTTGATCTACTTTACAAAAAAGTTAATAGTGCCAATATACAGCATATTTTGGACATTTAAGAGGTACGTCTATGCTATTTAGCATGTGCACTGATTGTTCTAAAACATGAAAAACAAGCATTATTATTCACTTGACCCTCACCTTTGACGTTCTTTGCAAAAATTACCCCGGACAGTTTAATTTAACTGAAGTCTTTTAATTTTGAGAGGTGGGGTGTTGATAATTAGCATTTATACATGTTTATGAGCTCATGATACTGTACTTTGAAACTGTATGACATTCAGTTACCACACAAACTGATACGAAAATACATCGAGATCGGTATCCCACAATAGATCGTTTAGACCGACAATTGGAGTAAAGAACTTCTTATAATAATTTAAATTTAATTATTCATTTAAGGGTTGGGAATCATATTTTATTTGATTGTCAGATTCTATCGCAGTCTTATACTATGCGTGGATGCTTCTTTCTGCATGAACTATCATAGTTGTAAATAAATAGCTTCTACACTTAGGTTTATTTACGGCTTTAATGAAGTTGCAAAGTAGGCGACACATGCGTTCCTTTGAACACTCCAGTTAATTTAGCGGGTGGCATTCCTACTATGTACAAAACATACTTGTCACATTATAACTTTGCTGTCGCCCTTTGAATTAATTTAAATGTGCCATAATTTATATATTACTTATGTAAATGAATGAGTTTTCCTTGTAAAACACGCTTGAAATTCAAGTCAATTCAAATAAAACTACACTCCTGTCGATTATGATTTTGATTTATTTTGCCAAATGTTCTTAATTTTGAAATACATATAGATATAAACGTAGAGCAGGTGAATATGTAATACAAACTGATCATTAATGAATTTAAAATCTTAAAAGTCACACAAAATGTATACTGAAAACAAAATTTTGAATTCACAATTCCATCTGTGTGTAGAATAGGACACAAAATTTACAATGAAAATGAATATCTTCTGAAAATTTTCTCGCAACAAATTTTCCGAAGTTCGTTTCTGAATTTATTGTCAAAAAACCAGTATATATATGGATTAGCAATGTGATTCAGAAGGTTAAAGCGCAGACAGAAATAGTAAACATTTAATTTGAACCCTCTTATGACCATTGTGGGGTTTACGAAAGTGTAGACCTGTGTAACCAGTGACGTCAGATATGAAACTACGTAGACAATAATGATGACGAGAAACATGACGCTGATATTCCTTCGCGCTCTTTGTTCCCGGTTTCCGTCGGTCGTTAAGGTGTTTGGGGGTTCAGTATTATGTGTTCTCACAATATTTGGTGGAAGATTCACCATTGCAATATTTTCAACACTAACATCCTGTGTTTCTTTAGATGAGATATCAGTGCCGTCGTCCTGTATAGTACTTGTTCGATTTTGTTTGGGAAGTGACAATGTTTTATAGATAGTCTTGATCACAGGAATGTACAGAGCGGAAGTAACGATGATATTGATAAAAGAAAGAATGAGAAAAGTTCCAAAATACGGGATCATTACACTGTTTCCATTGCTTCCATCATCGAAATGACACATTGTTAATGAAGATGGTCTATATATTCCGCTGAATTTCAAAATTGGAGCGGAATAGCCCACTGATATTAGAAATATAATCAAGGTAGCAATTTTGCATGATTTTGTCGACATTTGCGGACCAAACGGACGACAGATGATTAAATATCTCTGTAATGCTATCGTAAAAATTAAGTGCGCTGACATTCCCCCGGTCAGTATGATTAAAAAACTCAAAGTTTTACATAAAATCTCACTAGGGTATATGTAACGCATGGTGTTGTCAATGTGAAATTCGGTCACATTGGAAACACATCCTGCAAGATCCACAAATGCCAGAATTGGAATGAAAAACCGAGAAGCCGTTTTATCCTTTACGTATCTAGAGTACATCAAAAGAACAAGAGAGTTTCCGAATATTCCAAAGGCAGCAGCAATTAACTGTGCGATAGTATTAGGGAGTAATCGTTCGGAATATCGCTCAGACAGAATTCGTGCAAACTCCATGATCACATTTGTCGTTATGAAAAGACGTTTTTATTTGAATTTTACTCCAAGCTTTGACTGAAGGAATTACTTTGTACAATAGAAAGGGAAAGTGAGACTACTCACCCAAAGCTAAAAAAACACACCTCACGACCACTAACATAAATATTCAGGAAGTGGCAGGAGACGGTACTTTATTTAAACATTTAAGATAACTATGACTAATTATAATATTACGCAAGCCTGCTTACTGTGTAGTATCTATTTTTTCTTTCAAGTCAAAGTAAAAGAAGAATGTACAGTTTACAAACTAAATAATCACAATCGGTGCAAAGATATTTAATTCAGTGTAGTATCTAGAAAATAAGTTGTTGGGATATTATATAAAAAAAGTATTGATTTTGTTTGACTTTGATCGGACCAAAGGGATTTTGTGTTCCTTGGGTTTTCACCATTGATTGAAATAACTTGAAAAAAATATTCGTCTGTCGTGGTTGTACGCGTACCATCAATTGGACGAAAGAGACACTATTTTTTCTCTGTTACTTGATGAGTTTAATAATTGTAGTATATGTATTACCAAGCTTTTTTACGCAGCTGGTTAAATACAAAAATTAAAAATGATAAATACATGTACAGTGTAGTTATAACACCATTAGATCAAAAACAGTATTTCAATAATGCAGTGATTTATGATGGTTTAGTAATTTGCTTAGGATTTGCATAATATTTTTGTTATCTTTGTTAAAGTTTAATATTACGGGTAAACAGAAATACTTCCTACTTATGCTTAATATACATGATAGTTAGTAGAAAAACATTTGTATTAGTCTAGAGTTACTGTGAGCATTAGCTCACAAAATGTACCCCCTTCTCCCATATGAGTATAGTGGCAATTCCATTTTATGCTATGGGAAAGCCTAAATAGACTGTATATGTCTGATCAAAACGTAAAGTAGGAGGTGCACGTACAATGACAATACGTAATAAAGATTCTGTGAAAGTATCATTAAATTTTACTCAATGGTATAGGAGGAGTTGCGCATAAGAAATGGGTACTCCCCAGTATAATAGAAAGAATGGTAGTGTCTTTGTGCTATGGGAAACCCGAAAAATATGTCTGATCAAAAAGTGAAATATTAGGTCACAATGGAACTTTGTAGCAAAGATTCTATGAAAATCTCTTTAAATTTTATTCCGTGGTATGCGGAGTTGCGGATAAGAGATGGGTTCTCCACAGCGTAACGGACGGCAGGACGGACAGACATACGGCCGCACCCCCCCATCACTATACCCCCCTCCCCCGATCTTCAAGCGTGGGTATTACAAATGGTAAAACATTCAGACAAACAACCTTTAAGAAATTCAAGAGCACTTTTGTGTAATTAAGTGCAACACACACTATCTTATTACTTTTAGTGTGTTTTTAGATTGGGGGAGGGGTAGATAACATTCTGTCCGAAGATATTTTGTGCTAAAAGCCTGATTTCCACAACCATTGCAGAAATGTTGGGTACTGGGGAGGGGAGGCAAGTTGTTTTTATATAAATTTTTTAACCAAGTACATTAAATATACACTTCCATGACGCTTTTCAGATGGGAGTAGTCATTTATTTTTTCTTTATTCACATTTATAACACAAGAAAGGTATTATTAAATCTGTTTAATTCTTATATTTCAATGTAAAAATAAAATACCAACAACAACATGAGATATATTAAAGGGTCATTGGGTTTTCTAGAAGCGTTGGCCCTTCTTGTTTATAACCCTCAATCCACTTTCCGTTGTAAACAGACTTTACTGTCACAAAATTTCTTTTCTAGCGATATGCACAAAGCATACATAAGTCAATATATGAATAATATCTTAAGTACTTATCAGAACAATTTTCCAATAGGAATACTAATAGAATTAAAAAAGATGATAAAATATTTTCCTCATATATTTGAGAACTTTTTTTTTTTTTTAAATTTAGTTGAATAGAAATGAACATATTATTTTCTATGACGAATAATAAAAACGCTCGTAAATGTATAAATCGAACTTTTTAACACCCAGCATATAAATTTTGATTTTGATCACCAGTATAATTTTTACAAGGGATGCCTCATTAATTTTGGTTGGGCAACGGGGTAAAAAGAATAAGTTTATTCTATGAAATTAGAAATGGTTCATTAAAAATGCAATGAATTTAACTCCTTCCTGAATAATTTTATATGTATTCTCCTCAGCTTATATACATTAAAAGAAAATATATGCGGGCAAACGCCTTGGATTAAAAGCACAAGGCAAAAATACTTCACCTTAACACAGAGGTATAAAATATGAAATAGCTCATGAACAGTTCTGGTTTTTTTCAAATTCATTGTATGCAAAAGACTGAAATTGCAAGATAAATTCATACATTTATATTTTTAATTTTCAATTTGAACTTTAGAATAAAAATATTTAAAGTTTGGAAAGAACCTTGATACTGGAGTCATTACAGTTCAGCAAAAACCATTAAAAAGTGACAAAGAGGCAACCTGTACTGCCATTCCAACCCTTGTCTCAACAGTCTTAAATTGTTCTTTACATGTTCACTTAAAAAGATAATGGACATGACAGAAAAGATAAATCGTATATAGTGATGGACTACAGAAACGAATAACAGGAATCTTCTATCATTACTGGCATATAAAATTGCACGAATAAGGTATAGTTGAGCAGAAAACTTTCAATGAGCCTGCTCTAAATTTTTTGTTTTTTTCCCCTGCAAAATATTGAAAGAGGAATAGTCAATAGAACATACATATTTGCTTTTAAAAATAAACTTTGTACTTAGTTAAAATTGCTTTAAGTTCTGCAACAAGTTGTGAAAAATAATAGAACTGACAGTTTGAGACACAGGCATACAGAAAGATCACAAACAGTTTTCGGCTAGACAATCGGAAGTGATTGATGAAAATGTGCATTAGTTATGCGGTGTTTTTCCACCTTTTTCTTAATGTAGAAGCATTTCATTATATAACACTTACTAGGAGGGCTTTACATTCTTGTATTCTGAGCAAATATTGTAATTTGTTTGTTTCATTATTATTTATGGAATGAATTTAACTGGGTTGGAACAGTTAACGCTTTTTTATAAACCGCTTCGCAGTTTGAAAAGCATAAACTCTTCCCAACCCACTTTATACCGTATAAATTGGGTAGCTATTAAATTCATATATGTATTATATATTCTATTCGTATAAACTGGGTAGCTATTAATTTAAATGTAACGTCATGCGGATCGATACTTTTTTTGACGCAAGTCACTGTGACGTAGGCAACCCAATTTATACGATATAAAGTAAATTTTTTATCCAATCAAATTCCGCGTTATAACCAGAATTAAATTATAAAGAATTATACCAATAAACTTCATGTAACTTTGTCTATTGTAATCTATATCAGCGTTGTTGTAAATTACAATCCGATCGAGCATGTATACTAATGTATCTATACAACTGAAGCGTATTAGTTCCAATTCGACACCACATATCAATATTTACATTTGCTGTGTCTTTCTCCTAAGCCAACAGTGAAATTGAATTGAATGCCATTTTCGTGTACACTCACGCGTAGAATTTTACGCGGAGAAACTCGTGCTGAAGTGACGTCATAATGAGGCTACAGAGACTTTAATGAAAATGTAACTATATAGGGCAGCAAAAAATTCAAATATTGAGTATATTTTTGTAATTGCGCGCTTCATGAAATATGCCTACGTGACAAGTCTGTGTGATTTACACACGAATACCTCACACAAAACTTAAAAACATTCCTTAAGGTCAAGATCTAGTAAATGACTTTGGAATGTCTTTTTGATCCTAGATCCATTATGACGTCATAATCAATTCAAACTTTCTTTTTCCCGTACTTTGCGACTCTAATAGAATTATGTAGAAAACAAAGCATTTTCATGGCATTCAATTTGAAATCGAGTAAAAAGTAATCCCGGTACCTATATTCAAGAAGAGGCTAAGAACATACAAATTACTGTTTTCTGAGAGACTGTAGGCAATCTGGATACATTTCATTTGTCTGATATGACAAAAACTCCCATATTCATGACTGACTTTCTTAATTTTTCATTGAAAATGACAGTTTAAAATATGAGTTTTCGTCTTGTTTACCTACAAATTATACCCCGATACACCTTATTTGACCAAGCTATAGTTATAAAGCATCATAAAAGGAATTCAATTCTCAAATTTGAGAAATCTCTAGGCTCCTTTCATTTACTAGATCTTGACCTTAAATAAATCATGTTTCCACAGCGCAGTGTATAACAGATATACCCATATTGGGTTTTTTTTGTTTGTTTGTTGTTTATTTGTTGAAAATACGGAAGAATTGACCACATTATGACAATGAGCAGGTAGATTAAACAGACCCACATTATTCAATAAGTGTTTTGAAGTATTTTGTTTATAATGTCTATAAAATTTAGAAGTTAGTGGCGTATTTGTAAGGCTAAACTCAGGTCGTTAGTATATATGTTTTCAAAAATTGAAGCCTACATAATAACAAGGTGTGATATACTAGAAGAAAAAGTAGCCTTGATGCCTTTGAGAAGAATCTTCAAATTAACACACTTAACAAGACTGTTTTTCACACCTCTATTATGAATACATGTAGTTTCTTTTGGTTTTGATGATTTGCGTTGGATAAAGCATTAAAATTCTCTATTGTCTTTGAATATTTCTTAATAATTCCAACAAAATATTATGAATTATAAATAAATATTAGTAACATCCAAGGGAGTAAAATTCGACAAAGCAATGATAATCGCATAATTGTTTAACCAAGATTTTTAAAGTGAAAAAAAAAGCAAAAAGAGCATAAAGGCAGTCCTTTCTTCTATTCCGACTTTTATTTCTTTTAGTGCTTGACAGGAAAGAAATGTCGACGAATATCAGTGTTGATTATGTGTGATAGTGATGATTTTATATAGATTTTAATTAACAGTATTTTCTTTTCAGATGCCTTTGAAAGTTATGAAATACCTTTCAATAATAAACTTGATATAAAATAAATATTAGTATGTTTAATTTTAATATTAAGCAGTTTAATAAAGAAATTAGAATTGAGTTCTAAAATTACAACTTTACTGTTAACTTGAACAAATAAATGAGTAAAAAATAAAATAGTCATTGGTCAGTATTTTCTCGTCGAAACCTTGAACTTCCTTTGTCTAGAGTGCCCAGCTAATTAGTAGCCCAAGAGCAGTCAGTGAGTGAAGTTACTTTTGGAGAATTTTATTAGACCTTAAGTTGACTTTTTGACATGCTTGATTATATTAATATTTTCTAATTTCATTACAATAATTATTTTAACAAAGAGGCATATGAGATAATTCATTAAATTATTTATGTTTAAGTTTGTCAAAGCTGATGAACTACTTACTTTTAAACTTTGTAATTAGCTATTATATTTTATGACACAAAGGATATGTAGTGTATAAATATTCTTTCTTTAAATAAATGTGTGGTTATCCTTCACATACTAACAAATTGCTGTCCTTTAAAAAGGTTTACAATAAGTGGATGCATCTGTTTCTCAGAGAAAGCCGAAGAAAAGTTTCTTGGTGTATTGGAAATAGGAATGATTAAATATAAATTTTTTCTATCTTGAAATGTACAAATTTTTCATCATGATTTAAAAATTCTAATTGCTAAATTAACCTGTAATAATAAATAATATAATGGTCTTAGTATTTAAGTGCGTGACTACGAGAAAACCATGCAGAATGCTATGAAAGCAAGTTTTTCAAAATTGCTTGAAACTTTGCATACAAAGTGAGATCAAGGTCACTTACTTCCTGCTTAAGTTTGGTGACGTCATTTCATTTGTTACCATGGATACAGGGAGAATTAATTTATCGTCGGCATATTTCTATACCCACCGTGGAAAAATAACACCTTTTGTACATATTCTGTTTGTGTATGAAAAATCTCCATAATATCTTCAAAATTAATGGATTTAAGGAATTAAACCTTTTGAAAAAAATATTTACCGCATTTATTCCACATACCTTTTTGAATGTGATGAGCTACGAGTGCAAAAAGGTCACGATAATTGTAAGGAATAAAGATATTTGAATAGTCTGCAGAAAAACAGCTATAAAACTCCAAGAAAGGCTTCCATTGATTTAATTTTTTTTTAAAGTGATTGTTTTTAGATATTTTATTTAGTATTAAGGGTTTTGTTTTGTGTGCAGCCAAGTGAGACTCACTAAAAATAAAAACCTTAATAACTCAAAAAATAAGCCATGCTAACACTTGAAAACTGGTCCATGTCATCTTCATAATGAAAACAATCTCTGGGTATATGCAGCTTAATTGACACCTGCAGCAGTTTGCAGCTATGAAGTGCACAATACACCCGCAGGACTGCGCAGCCACAGGTTTTAGTAGTGAACCAAAAAATAAAAAAAAACAAAAAAACAAAAAACAAAACAAAACAAAACAAAAAAAAAATGAAATAGTTAAACCAATTAAGTGACTACAACTATTTGTGAAGAACCTTTGATTTAAATGTAAACTCACTACAATAGGCACATTTCTTTAAATGCATACTTGTTAGTTAAACAAGAAAATGTTAGCCATGAAAATAGTCCCAACCACATGGCAATGTGTTAAAAATAGAATTAAAGAGACTCACTGTTGATCTAAAAATAGCACTTTATATGAAAGCCCAGATGTATCTAAAATATTACTCTATGGTGTGTACAAAACACAGGGAAATTAATGTTAGAAAAATAATTTTCTCCTTAAAAATATGCCAAATAAGATGTCAAAAATCTGCAGGGATAATGTAAGTGTGCAATTTAAATAAGAGGCCTGGCCCACAACATTCACTTGAGTCACCTTGGTGTTCTTCAGATTTCTAAGACATTCTTATCCCCCTTAATTCTCATAAAAACAAATTTGAGCTAATATTGTGGCCCCACCCTGGGTCATAAGGCCATGTCTAATCCAAAACTGATTCCACAACATGAGGATATTTCATTATCAATATGGCTAACATGGCTTATATGTTTTCTTAAGTTTTTTTTTCACATGTATAAATGCATTTACCAATTTATATATAAAATCTGATCTCAGATTTATTTGAAGAAAAAAAAAAATGAAAAAAAAATACAAATAGGGAATATTTTAATTTTATTATAATAATAAGTCTGGCAAATGATTTTGACCAACTTGAATCTTCACTACTTGAGGATGCGTGCATACATTATGAGTAAATCATTACCTTGTTGTTCATTAAAGGACGATTTTTTCCTATCTATTTCCATGTCAAACTTCGATACCTCTATTTTAGGGTTTAATTTTTATGGATGACAGATGGACAGACACCGGAGACTCTTTGATCAGAAAAGTTCAATAGAGCCTCTGCTCAGATGAGCTAAAATGTAAATGTCTTTGATTATTGTTAAAAAAAGTCACCAAGAAGAACAAAAGAAAAGGATGATAAATGAACTTTTTTTTTATTCTTAATCACTTCCAGGATATTATATTTCTTTTAACATGTTAACCATTAATGCAAGTTTGACTATTTTTGTGAAACTTTCTTTAAAGATATAAGGTATAATTTTATAAATAAGCTTCAATTCTAACAATATAACTCTAATATAACTCTTTAAGATATTTGAGACCCGTGTTCTTAGCATGGGTTTCACAAGAGTGACCTTAAAACATTTTTTTTGCATTTAATGCACTAAACAATATGAATAAATTAGATAAAACACTATTATAAAATCCTGTATCAAGATCCAAAAATGTTCTTCATTTTAAACTCGTGGAAAGTTCAAATATGTATTTTTGTTTGGTCATCATATGTTCTTTTTCAATGATTTTTGGAAAGTTCAAAGCATTTGTTCATACAACCATGAAATCAAAAATATTAACTTTCTCTAGTCATATCATATGAAACTAAATCACAGTCTTCACATGTTGCTGATATTTTCTCCAACACTGCTTTCCAAAAGATTAACTGTTGAGACAAACCAACATGGACCAAAACCTCTGTCATTTGAATGATCTCCTTAACTTTGAAATCTGTAAAATATTAAATATAAATAATTTATAATCAACCACTAAAAACAATACTGTTGATCATTCTCAAAGAGTGAACTTGAATTGAAAGTTAAATTTTACATCATGACTAAGTAAAAAGTATGCAAAGATAGACATGTAAATTTCAGGGTCAAAGGCTACACATCCCTCAGCAATGATGGTCACATTGTAAATGTTAGTTAACACTGATTGTTGCACTGAATATATCTTATTTTAATTTACAATTAGTGTAGATCAGAGTAGTTTAATCCATACAGAGATAGATGAGTCTAATCTGTATACAAAGAAGTCAACCATAAATAAGAACAATTAAGGTAAACCCAAGTGATGGTCATGTCATCTTGCCTTGGGAAGTAGATGAGTCAAGCATATAAAATCATAATTAAATAAAGCAAACAAGTACAAAATCTGAAGGTTAAATGACAAGGTAAGGATTTGATGGCAGAATTTAAAAAACCTGATATGATGACATGTGTGTTAGTAAGCTACAAGAAGATGATCAGAAACAGTTCCTTCCAAAAGAGATTAAAGTTTTCAATTATCTAAAAATAACCTCTGATGTGACTTCTTTTTTCAGACACTGTTTACCTAACATTTGTTTTTCTATCGTTAAAGTCAACTGCAATATAAACAATTACTTTTATTTGGTTATAACGTGACATCACACATAAGGTTTGATTATTCATGATAACGATACTTTATTCGCTCAAGCAGCCTCAGGTAGGAGAGAGCTGTACAGTGCAGGGAACTAATTTTTAATAAACCAGCATCAGCATTAGTAGCATCAGGATCGAGCTAGCATCAGCAACAGCATTTAAAAAACAGCATTACCAGGATCAGCATCAGCAAGCAAAGGATAAAACCAGCATTGACCTACATAAAATCAGCATTATCCTACTAGCATCAGAAAATCAATGAGTTTTAATTCAGTAAAAAATTAAAAAAGAAAGAAAGAATATTGGTTAAAGTATTCACATTATTGATACATAGTGAGATATTATGATCAAATAATTGTAAAGGGCACTTTTAATTGCTTTAAATGGCAATGCTGAAATTCATTATCTACTTCCGGTAGCATGATGCTACTTCCGGTAGCATTGACCTAATTATAAAACAGCATCAGGATAAGGATTACTAGCATTAAATCAGCAAGCAGAGGAAGCATTCAAATCAGCAAGCAAAGGAAGCATTCAAATCAGCATCGATGCTGTAACAAAACTAGTTTCCTGCACTGTAGGCGGACTTGAGACAATGTGATGGACATATACACAACATTCACTTAAACAAGATCTTTCTTTTCATCCAACTGCATATATATTTCTCATCATAAAAAATGTACATTCTTTCATTCTGTACACATAGAATAACATTTGAATCCAATCATACAAAATGAAAATGACTAGTCAGCTCACTGTGATTATAACACCTACCTTATACCCTTATACACTTGTCTATTAAATTTATGGAATCATTTCATTGGGATATAAAACTTACCTTACAGGGGAGGTTTTTGGGAGGGCTCCAACACAGGTATCACATGATTATGAAATGCAGAAATTGACAGTCCAGAGAAAATATCTGAACAGTGTTCTTTTTTGTGAAACAAGGCATTCTGTAAACATGGTAAACATAGTTATAATAAATTTTGGGAAAAAAGTTCAAAACAATTCTTTTGATTTTTGATATTAATATTAATCTTTGTTGAATATGTTGAAGGGTGTCAGTGTTTTAACTGAATGGTATTTATTTCTTGAAACTGTGTCCGATAATTTTTTTTTCTATGAGACATTATAAGAATAGAGTTTTGCATCAATCTCTCGAACATCAATAAATGTGAATTTGAATTTGATTGTTTGTTATCTTCATATTTCATTGAAAGTCTCTTCCATTTTTTTTCTTTAAGCATTTTAACCTCAATGTGTCAAACTATACCAGATTTCTTGATTTTTTTACTGGTCCCATCAGGATAGAAATAACAACGTTTGCCTGTACCATTAAAATGCAGGTCCTCAAAAAAAATTATAATAATAAATAATAACCTTTGAGATAAAGTGGTGGCTACATGTACATTCATTTTTGTTTTCAATTTTATAGAAAAATCTTAGAGGTTTCTACAAGAATATCATGGTATTTATGGATCAATACCAAGGTTTACCCCCACCCCACCCCCAGCACCTTTTCTCTTCCTTACAAGTGCAACCAACAACCTAAGTCTGATTGAGCATATGAAAAACTGTCATAAAATGAACATTCAATTAAAAATAAACATGCTTGGTTAAGCATTTGATTCAGCATGATTAATGGTAACTTAAGATCAGGTAAGACCCCCTTATTATACTCACTTTTTGATTAAACCAATGCAGTTGCAGAAATTCAAGTTTTCAATCTTAACCATTTCAACCAGAGAATATTAATTATTAATACTTTATGCAATTTTCATCTTTAAAAAAAAAGCTATTTTTCAATTTTGCTGCACTCTTCATTTGATGAACATTGAACAATTTACATATCAAGCAATAAGCAAATTAAGTTGACATCCTTGAAAATTTTTATCGTTTAATTTACTTTTCCCCATGAGAACTACATACACTGCACTAATCTGCAAATCAGAAGGACCAAGTCCAAAATGATGGTTTGTATACATAGTACAAACTTATGTGAAAATTATTTATATAAATAATTAATAATACTTGCATCTCTTTTACAAAAAGTAAAAACAAAAAAGCAATAAAATTTGAATATCAAAATTTTGATTTACAAATAACACATCTGATTCACCATATATGTGTACTACGTAGAGCCACTTCACTTAGCCATCATTGGACATTTAACTTGGTGTGTCTGAGGCTCAATGAAGGATCTTACACAAAAATCGCTCATTAATGAAAACAAAATTTAGTTCTTTACTCATAATATTTGAAACCCTGTTTTTGGCTGAACTATATTTTTATACAATGACTAATACTTTTAGTATTTTGAAACATAGTAACATTTATTAGAGGAACCTTAAATATTGCCGGCTACCAAATTGTGGTCTGCAAGAAACACGTGGAAATTCTCAGATCCTTTGTATAACGTTTAGCCTTGTAGTGCACCTGAGTCACTTAAGTGACCTATTGCTATCCGTTCTCGTCCGACGGCGTGCATCGTGCGTCGTGTGTTAACATTTGAACATTTTTAGCTTCTTCTCTGAAACCGCTTAACCAATTTCAACCAAATTTGGCATATAGCATCTATGGGTAAAGGGGAACAAAAATTGTGAATTTCATGGTCCCTGCCCCCCCCCCCCTGGGGCCTTAGGGGTTGGGCTAAAACCACCAAAAATAATGCAATCTTTAAAAATCATCTTTTTTACTACAGGACATCAAGCAGTCAAACTGTTGGCATGATTGTAATAAGCATTGAGCCCTCAACCAAAATTGTGAAATTCATGGCCCCAGGGTCAGGGGTTCTGGTGTTAGGGCGGGGCTCTATTGATTATATAGTGAAAATGCATTAATTCTTTGAAAATCTTCTTCTGTGCTCCTGGGTATTAAATAAAGTAACTAAGTACATAGTTATGATGAGCAAGAATGCCTCTACCAAAATTGTGAAATTCATGGCCCCAGGGTCAGGGGTTCTGGCCCCAGGGTGGGGCTATATAGATCATATAGTGAAAGTGCATTATTTCATTGAAAATCTTCTTCTCTGCTCCTGGGTATTAAATAAAGTAACTAAGTACATAGTTATGAAGAGCAAGAGTGCCTCTTCCAAAATTGTGAAATTCATGGCCCCATGCAGGGTCAGGGGTTCTGGTGTTAGGGCGGGGCTCTATTGATTATATAGTGAAAATGCGTTAATTCTTTGAAAATCTTCTCCTCTGCTCCTGGGCATTAGGGTGATAAACTAAGTACATAGTTATGATGAGGAGGTGGGCCTCTTCCAAAATTGTGAATTTCATGGCCCCAGGGTCAGGGGTTCTGATGTTAGGGCGGGGCTCTATTGATTATATAGTGAAAATGCATTAATTATTTGAAAATCTTCTTCTCTGCTACTGGAGATTATTTAAACAAACTAAGTGCATGGTTTTGATGCATAAGGATGCCTTTTCAAAAATTGTGAATTTCATGTCCCCAGGGTCAGGGGTTCTGGTGTTAGGGCAGGGCTCTATTGATTATATAGTGAAAATGCATTGATTCTTTGAAAATCTTCTTCTCTGCTACTGGAGATTATCTAAACAAACTAAGTGCAAGATAATGATAGGCAAGGATGCCTCTTCCAAAATTTTTAAATATATGGCCTCAGTTTTTGGGGTTCTTGAGGAAAGGGGGGGGGGTTCTATTGATTATATAGTGAAAAAGCATTAATTCTATTAATTAATCAGTAATTAATCCTGTCTGCTCCTTAGCGATGAGCTGATAAATAAATTGCTTAGCTATGATGAAAATGGGAGCTTCGAACAGAATTTTTAAAAATCTTGTGGTCCTAGGGACAGGGGTTCTGGCATAATGAGGAGGGGGGTTGAATTTCTTGACCCTTGGTCTTGGGTTCTGGTGTTAGGGTAAGGCTTTGTTGAATCTGTAGTGAAAACGCATTGTACCTGTGAAATTCTTCTCTGCTTCTGGGCATATCGGAAGAAAACTGAGTAAAAGTTTAAATGATATAAGTAAGCGTATTTCTACCAGATTTTTGAATATCTGGACCATTTGTCTAAGCATTCTAGTCCTGGGCAAGGCTCTATTAATTTGTATTCTACTGAGAGGAGTTATTCCCCTTTTCCGTTCACCTTTGATAATTAATCACTGTAAATAATGTATTTGAAAGGTTAATAGAATAAGATAATTATGCAAGAATGTTTATCATATAATTCAAAAAGTATTTTCTTAGTTTTAATAATCAGGTAGACCTGTAAGTAATAGATAAATAAAAATGAGACAAAAATAACTTATCTTATTAAAAGTTCTTCAAAGACCATAAGAGAGGTCAATGCTAGAGTTCTTAATATGGGTTTCAAAATAGTACAGAAGCACTAATAATTTATTAATAGTCTGCATGGTGACAGTGTTAAGTGGGGGACAGATTAGAACTTAATTTATGAGTTGATACTGAATACTAGACTAATTATTTTGTTGATCCTGATCTTCCTACTTCTCTTGCTTTAGGGCAACAAAGCTTCATCTATCAGTGTATTTAACTTCTAAATTGTTGTATTATACTCAGGTGACCATTAAGGCCCTTGGGCATCTTGTTAAAATTGATGTGCATCAGATCGCAGGCGTTGTCATACTCAAAATGTATTACTGATACTAGGAGTTATATCGTATTTCTGAGATAAGGCTCATAAATCACAATAAACACAACAAATCAACTTACCAGCTCCTACATGTACTTTCACTTTAGCCGAATATCGCATGACAGACCTCAGAAATAAACTACGCTGAGTGATTATAGTTCTTAATTTTCGTGCAATATATTTCAATATTATATGACATTGTCCTACATTTGTAGGATTAATATGCTTATTTGATAAAAGGTAATTAATAGCCTTACCTGCAAAAGAAATAACAGACGTCAAATTCAGTCGGAACTGCTAAAACTGGGCGCGTATTAATTTATCTGTCCATTGTAAAATCGAAGACGGAGCATTCCCTGATATGACGTAAACATCGATGTTTCTTTTATAATAAACAATATTAAACATTTAGATCGAAACATTCTAATAGCTGGAGATGTTTTACGAAACATCTCTCTAATTGCTTTGTGTAATCGGGGTACTAGAGACATCAGATTACAGAAATAGTCAGTTGGTTTCAATACCGGAATGGCAGCTCCCAGATTTCGCATGGCGGACATGCCTAGTAGATGAAAAACAGACAGTTATGGAAAAAGTACGCACAGAATCGTTAGGAACGAAACAAATAGTTGTACCCATGACGTTCAACTATCTGCACATATACAACAAATGTCATGTTATTGTTTTGTTAGACCTGTAGCTGTGCAGTCCTGCAAGTGTAATATGCAAATTATTGCTGCATGACACTGCAAGTGACAATCAAACTGCATACATATCAAGACAGCTTTCCCATGGAAGGTGTCATAGGTCAGTTTTCAAGAGTAAGCAAGAAGTATTTATTAAGATATTGAGATTTTTATTTCGTACCAGTTTCACTTGGATGAACACAAAACCAAACCCTTAATGGGAATTTGGTTGCAAATTTAAATTAATGGAGTTTTCACTCTTGTAAGTGCAAAACTGTGAGTGCAGAAAGGTCACAATAATTCTAATGGATATTCTGTAGAAAAACAGGTACAGAATTTCAAGAAACACTTCAGTGATTATATTTTTATCAAGAAGTTTTTGTTTAAAGATATTTTAGTAAAAATAACAGGCAATTTGATGGCACATTTGAATTACATGTAGTTGATTTTTTTTCCTCCTAGCAAAATTACCTATTTCTGGGTAGAAAGGCAAACTGGACTACTGGAGTGATTACATTCTGAACTTTACATCAATTCAGGCACATGACCTTCAATCTCCATGACTGAAATTAGTTTATATTTATCCAGAATGTCACACAGATGCATGATTTAAATATTTGTTTAACCAGAAGTCTTTGTCGAGACTGTAGCTCGACTGGTTTGTACTTATAATAAAGGAAGAGATAAGTAGCAGTTGGACATGAAACTTTGCAACAGCAAAAAATAGAGTAATGATCTTTGATTTAGTCTCTTTTCGTGGAAATCTGACTAAAACTGTAGGAGGAGTAGACTTTTAAAAGAATTTTACAGAAATTTCTATTTAGTAACCATGGCAACACCGTTCATCAAAATTAAAAACCGATAAAAAAAAATTAAGCATCTCAGTGTAGTCTACTTGTGTGCCAAGTAATATTGAAATAAGACTAAAACTGTAGAAGAAGCTTTTGAAAAATTGTTTACAGACAGACGGACGACCAACACCTTACTATCAGATAAGCTCTTCTGGCCATGGTCTCTAACCAGTAGAGCTAAAAATCAAGAGATTTTAACAATGCTTAATGTATTATAGCAATGAATTGGCTTTAGATATGGGGCTCATTTTACGGGATCCCTTAGCATGAAAATGCACATTGCAAAAACTGCAAATATGTATAAAATTGCAAGTTTAACAGAGAGTGTGTTCAAAAGTGTGAACACATCAGTGAGTACAATCCACTTTTTCACACTGTTGCCTAAATTCCATACAGTTCTTCACTCCAAAAGTTGTCTTTAAACATGCAACAAATTTTATACAAATGCTGATTTTGTTTGGCCTTAAATTTATATACATGAATGTTTATGTCTTTTTTTAATACCATAAAGTCATAAAAACACAACCAGTATTTAAATGAAGTATTTGACAATGCTCAATTAAGTTCCTTCAAATGCATTTAAAAACTACTGAATGTATCAAGTACATGTTACTTTTACATAGAAAAGACAGTAACATTATAAAAATATTTATTAATAAGATGATCTCTAACTAATTTTAAATTGTCAAAAAAAAACCCCTCACATTTGAAGCTACTAAACTGAAAGAAAGCAAAATATATGAAACATTAATTGGTGTCTAGGAAAATCAAGGAGTCCCAAAACTGTCATGAAAAAAAAAACCGCTTGATCCTTTTCCTTTGGAATGTTGTCGACAACTTGAAGCATCAACTCTGTACTTTGGCATGGTGCAACAGGTCCTATTGCTAAATGTGCTTGGTGTTTGTAAAATATTCCTGTAGAGTATTGCAAATAGTCCAAGATGGTTCAAGATAGGAAGCGTTTCAGGGACAGAAATGTCTTATGTGTTGCATTTAATATACCTTGTATGTGCAGCTGAATCTGTTTTACAATCGTTTAACAAAACTAGAGATTTTTTTAATCACAATTGTCCTCAAATCAACACTTCATCTTTTCGTCTGCCATTAGGACACCATACTTTTAATTCCTTTAAATAAGGAGAGTTCCTGAGGGAGATAATTTTTCTAATAGTTTTAGCCAACTTCAATCTATTTTTAAATTAGCATAATGCCATTTGCAACCAAATTCCTTTTAACTATCAATTGATTTTGAAGGATTTTTGCAATTAAACTGATATTTATAATATTTTAGGCGTTTGTTGGGTTTTTACAGCATTCTAAATATAGTGGTATTTTAAACACATTGATTTAATCTAATTTTAGACCCCACTTTTATAGAATCAGTGTTGATAAATGAAATAAAATAAAATATTTCTAGTTAGAGCACTTCCTTTAAATTTATTTAATATTTTTCATTTGAATAAAAGTGCATTTTTTTCCTGCAATTTTTTTTTCTTAATCTATGGGTGTTTTTCTAAATATTTTCATAAAACTGCTAAAAATAGAATATAGGACTATAATAGGGACCCCCAAAGGTACCTGACAGTTTTGATACTGGGATTTATTAGAGGACACATGATGCTAATCAGAAACAATAAAATCAGTCAAAATGATCGCAATGCCTTTCATAATAAAATTTGGATTTTGCATGGATTTCTCGTAGACACGCACTTAAGTTGATCTAGGTATCTATCATTGTAATGTAGCATTAAAAATTAACCACAGAATTAAAAGAGGCTTTCAATTGCACATTTCATAATAACTATTGTGATTTTTTTTGGAATGAGGATATCCTGTCCCAAACTCAAACTCCACCCCCACTTATTTTTTTAATCCTCTATAAATTCATTGTACCATAGACATTCTACATCTTAATTCTTACATATAAATATTTCTACTATTATGATACTATATTTGTAAATATACTAAAAATATTTTATTTTATCAATTGAGATGTACATAAGTGATGATTTATACACTATATATGCCTACTGGATTCAGAATTAGCGTTCTCATTCAGATTAAATGACATGTAAACTTTACGTTTGATCAAGTAAAATAGCTACGGCGAGTTGTCTGTGTTAATATGGCGAGGTATCCAAACGGATAGTTCTGGTTGGGGTGCATTTGTCTTAAGAGCGAAGTGTCTTATGAGTGATCAGTCTAGATTCTAGCGCGTGCGCAATCTGAGTTTTCACCATCGCATTCGGTTAAACCTTGCTTATATATTTTTTACAGGACCTCAGGGTCCACGCAACAAGGCGTGCAACTCGCCTCTATGTTGGATTCAGCTTAAGGGCACATTCTAACTAGTAACGAGAGTTTCTCACCCAGTCGAACCTTTCTTAGACATCGGAATCTGACATTTATTGAAATGAAAATCAAACCAGATTGAGTCTTGGGGAGTGTCTATTGGTTAGACGTATAATTGTCCTTTTATAAATTTCGAATTCAACGGGTGGCGTTACTACATGTATTATGTACAAAACATACTTGTCCACTTATAACTTTGCTGTCACCCGCTTGAATGAAAAAAAAAAAAATAAAATGTGCAACAATTGATATTGCCTAGATCTGAGAATGAGTTTTTTTTTTCAGAGAAAGCTTAAACTTCAAGTCAAAGTCAAATAAAAACCAGACTTCCGTGGTTTTTCGTTTTGATTTATTTTGAAATATATATTGCAGATAAAAACATAGGATATAGAAGGTGTACATGTAGTACAAAATGATCATGAATGAATTTAATTCTTAAAAGTAGTATTAGATGTATACGGAAAAACTAATCTTGAAATTATCAACTCCTCATATGTATAGACTGGGACATAAAATTTACAATGAAAACGAATATCTTCTGAAAAATTTCTCGCAGCACAACAACCGAAGTTCATTTCTGAATTTGTTGTCAAAAATCCAGTAAATATATGGATTAGCAATGTGATTCAGAAGGTTAAAACGCAGACAGAAATCGTACACATTTAACTTGAACCCTCTCAGGTCCATTTCGGGGTCTACAAAAGTGTAGACTTGCGTAAATAGTGACGTCAGATACGAAACTACGTAGACAGTAATGATGACGAGAAACATGACACTGATATTCCTCCGCGCTCTTTGTTCCCGGTTTCCGTCGGTCGTTAAGGTGTTTGAGGGTTCAGTATTATGAGTTCGCAGAATATTTTGTGGTAAATCCGCCATTGTAATACCAGTATTTTCAGAACTAAGATCCTGTGTTTCTTTAGATGAGATAATAGTGTTGTCGTCTGGGATAGTATTGATTCGATTTCGTTTGGGGGGTGACAGTGTTTTATAGATAGTCTTGATTACAGGAATGTACAGAGCGGAAGTAACGATGATATTTATAAAAGAAAGAATAAGAAAAGTTCCAAAATACGGGATCATTACACTGTTTCCGTTGGTTCCATCATCGAAATGACACATTGTTACCGAAGAGGGTTCATGTATACCGCTGAATTTCACAATTGGAGCGGAATACCCAACCGATATTAGACATATAATCATGGTAGCAATTTTGCATGATTTTGTTGTCATTTGCGGACCAAACGGACGACAGATGATTAAATATCTCTGTAATGCTATCGCAAAAATTAAGTGCGCTGACATCCCTCCTGTCAGAATGATTAAAAAACTAAAAATTTTACATAAAATCTCACTAGGATAACGCATGGTGTTGTCAATGTGATATTGGATCACATTTGAAATACATCCTGCAAGATCCACAAATGCCAGAATTGGAATGAAAAACCGAGAAGCCGTTTTATCCTGTACGTATCTAGAGTACACCAAAATAACAAGAAAGTTTCCGAATATTCCAAAGGCAGCAGCAATTAATATTGCGATCGTATTGGGGAGTAATCGTTCCGAATGTTGCTCAGAAAAATTTCGTGCAGACTCCATCATCACATTTGTCGTTCAAGTGATACGTTTTTATTTGAATTTTATACCACACTTTGACTTAAGGAATGACTTTGTGTGATATAAAGGAAGAGTCAGACTACTCATGCTAATTTAGAATAAATGTATCACAAGCATCTAACAGAAGTACCATGAAGAACTTGGCATGAGAGGGTACTTTGTTTAATTTTGTAAGATTATTATGAAGAATAACTATACTGCGCAATCCTACTTCCTTTGTTTTGCCTGAATAAATTTTTTTTTTTTTTTTTTTTTTTTAACAAGAAGTGAAGATAAGAGGTATGTAAAATTTTCACACTGAATAATCCAAATGGATGCATGGATATTTAATTATATATAGTATCTAGAAATAAGTTGTCAGTGAGAAATTATATTAAAAATGATTTTGGAGTTTGATATCGATCGGAGAAAAGAAATTTTGTGTTTTTGGGGTATAACATCATTGAACGAAATCGATTTTGTGTTTTGGAGTTGTCCACCTATGGTTAATCGAAAGAAATAAATATGCTACATTCCAGTTAAAATATTTTCCTCCTTTATTGTATAAGCGGTTTTATGATTACGTAACATGACTAGTTTAATGCTTTTAATATTCTTACTTGCATAAGTGTAAATACAAAAATTGAAACAAGATAAATGGTTATAAAGATAACAGTTAAAAGACGATAAAGAATTATCACAATGATTTGTAATGATTTGCGAAAGGCTTGCATATTTTCCCTTTATTCCATGTCTATATTTATGTAATAGATCCAGATGTCAGCACGTGAAAAGTTTGTACGTTCTTCTTGTCAGAAATCATTGAGACATTCATAATTTTTAATTTTAGATATATGTTATGCTGTTTCCTTCATCTTCTATCACATGAGTTGATGATAATACAATCCTATCTTTTATCTTAGATTTCAATTTCGATTACTTAATTTATTTGGATCTTAATAGTATATGAACAACATGTATTACATAATACAGCATTATTGTTAAATAATAGCATTTATGTAATCGTGTTTTTGTTGGTAACTAGATATTGTTTTCTTAGATTAAAGTTCACAAACACGTTATATGTAATGTACATTTGGCGTCTCTCGGGGAATTAGCCAAATCTTTTTATATTAGCCAATCAGAAGCATGTATTTTTCACGTGACTCGGAATAGCGTCACTTGACTGATTTAGAAAGAAAACAAAAACATTCAGTTTATTTACATAAGAAATCACCCACCCACCTTCCCCAGCTTTCACCACCATTCAATGATTTAACATTTTACGTTTATATAACCCATTTTTAATTTTTGTTTTTAGACTGGATTAGTTCATCCCCATATAGTGAAGTAAGTGCATATTGGTGAATTTTAAAGGAAAATTTCCAGGATTTGGCAGGCTCCGTCCAAACAGCCCACAACACAATGGAGGAAGGTATGAAGATTCATGTACGAATTATCGGACACTCTTACATTCGCCGTTTAGGGGAATTTTTCGCGGTTAATGGACATTATGCCAATTTACAATTAGACAAATCACAGTATTTGGTGGATTTTCAAGCTAGAGGTGGACTGACTTTTCAACGTTTAGCACAGTGCGCGAAATTCACTAATTTCCCAAAACCTCCCCTGCTGTGTGCATTCTGCAGATGGGCGGCAACGATTTATGCCGGAGGCAACCTGACAAAGTGTTTACGGACATACTCTCATATGTCCAGTTTCTACGTGACGGCGTGGGAATTAAAAATGTGATAGTGGGTCAATTGTTACGTCGGCAGCCGTGGGCGACCAGACCAGGTTATAATGAAGACGTTGTGAGTGTCAACAATAAATTGAAGAAAGAGACTGCTACCTTAAAGAACATTTATTTTTGGCAACATCGTGGATTTTGGACGGATCTTATCTTGGTCGTGATGAGGTGCACATAGATGGGAAATCCAGACACAAGAAAAAATACCTCCACAGTATTCGCATTGCAGTTCTTCACCATTCCAGATAGGCCAGTGTTTTAATTAAATTAATTATAGATCAGCTTATCTCTATTACATGTTAGAATATAGGTATTCATCATAGATTTCTTGGACATTTGCACAAGGAAATTTGTATAAAAGTAATAAGGTGTAATTTAACTTTAAGAATTCAGACATATAAGCTTCATTACAGAGTTGCAAAATTAAATATATTGAACATTGCACAACAGAGCCTATATGTCACTGTTTGTAGTAATTTTATTATAAATATTAAACAAAATACTGGTTACACACACAATAGTTTATATCACTTACAGTCACACGCAGAGTAGTGTGCATCACTAGAAGTCGCACGCAGAGTAGTGTGCATTATTTTAGTCACACGCTGAGTCGTGTGCATTATTTTAGTCACACGCAGAGTAGTGTGCATTATTCAAGTCACACGCAGAGTAGTGTGCATTATTTAAGTCACACGCAGAGTAGTGTGCATTATTTTAGTCACACGCAGAGTAGTGTACATTATTTTTACTCGCATGCATTATAGTGTGCTTTATTTTGTAACACGCTGAGTAATGTGCAAATATTAGTAGTCACATGCAGAGTAGCGTGCAAAGTTTGTAAACACATGCAAAGTAGTTGGTATACATGTGGGTTTAGTCACACACAGAGTGGTATCCATTAATTGTAGTCATACACTAAAAGTAGTATGCGTCGGTGGTTGTCACACTTGATATTGCCTTTATTTTTATGTACAGAGTGCACAAGTTGAGTCCCTGGCAGAAAAGTGTACATAAATTCTGGTCTCATGCTTTAGTGTGCATAAATTTGAGTCAAGTAATTGATAACATATGTAGTCTATTTGTGCAGTCAGGTAGTAACTTTGTAGTCATACCTGCTCTCACAGTAGTGTGCATGGGTTATTTGTCTTCAATTTGAGCTTAAGTAGCAGACAACTCGACAAAATTTATGTAGAGAAAATATATAAAGTTTGATTAGAGATCAATATTGGATTTCACATACACTGAGAATGAGAGGTGAAGTCCTGAGAAGAAATAATATTTGTATGCCTTATCATTAATAAGGCACACTATCTGATAGCCTATATATATCACATAGTTTTAACACAGTATAGTTGTTCTGTAGGAGTCATGCCTAGAAGGAAGACATCAAAACAGACAGACGCCCAGAGTGTTGAAATGCATTCCACAACCCAAGCAAAACGTCGGAAGACCAATCAAGCTTCTGTGGTAGCAAAACCTGATCAAGTTGCCATCGACTACCAAAAACTTGCATCAGAAATTCTCAGGCAACAGGGAATGCACCAATTTCAACCTTCAGTGAGCAATGACCCACAGCCTGTGTAGCCTCATAGTCAGTCATCCATTCCTAATACCACATATACAGGGAATACTCTTCCATGCAACTTACAATTTATCATTGAGTCAAATGCTGACTGACGTTTTTCATACTGGTTGTTAGGCCATTATTCACACACTGAATTGTCGACGGATTTTTCCGTTATTTCCCTATCATGACAAGGAGCACACGGCGGGTGTGACCGGTCGGCAGGGGATGCTCACTCCTCCATGGCACCTGATCCCACCTCTGATGTTTGGAGGTCCGTGTTTGCTCTGCTCCTATTTTGTATTGTATAATGGACTTTTGAGCTTGAATACTGTTTGTTATCTCCATATATTTCATTACAGACTACTGGTGAACGAGAAAACTAGGATCAGACCACAGCATCAGAGACAATGGCACAATCCTCTACAACAGGGACAATGCAGTCACAGACTGCTTCATCAGAGTCACAAGCTGCTACATCAGGTTCACAAGCTGACACAACAGGGACAGTCTCACAACTAGTTTCTAGGATTTTTGAAGGTGAGCCAGCAGCCACAGCTCCCAATAAAAACACTAGTAATTACATCTCAATCACTGACGGCATTCCTCTTGGTGCAACTGTACCCAGCAAAATTAAGTCCAAAATATGGTCAAATGAATTCATAGATTTACGTAGTCTTTTGACGCACCAAGAAGAAGACCCAGTGACCTTAATGATCACACCAGGTGTAATTAATTTGCAATATAGTCAAAAGTCAAAAACACCTTTGTCCATCAACCAATTGACAGACACATTTCTAATTTTTACATGCATCATAATACAACAGAAACCTGCTGAGGCTCCCCACCTGCTTAGGTACATGTCATTCATAAGGGAATTACAAAAGCTTCGTAGAGATTCAGCATGGCGATCATATGATGAGTCTTTCAGAAAGTTAAGGGAGACTGTAGACCTTCCCTGGCAAAAGCCAGTGGAAGAACTACGTGGGAAATCTTTGGCAATTTCCTCAAAACAATCTAATGGGCAGCCCTTTCGTGGGAAACAGGTGGGGAGAATCAGTGGGGTCAGATTCTGCTTCGACTACAATCAAGGCAACAAATGTAAGTCAACCCCTAGTCCATTCACACACATTTGTCAAACATGTAGGGGTCATCATCCCAAAAGCAAATGCAGATCTAATGACAAATCCGAACATGATAAGGCCTCTCCCAACCTCAGTAAAGGCAAACAAACTTAATGACCATTTAGTAGGTTATGATGATCAATAGAGGGAATACTTAGTAAAAGGATTCAGTTCTGGATTTTCCCTGGGATGTATAACCACTCCCATAGCGTCTTTGTCAAGAAATCACAGTTCAGCAAAAAATCACCCAGAGATCATACAAGCTCACATACAAAAGAGCCTTAAGCTCAAGCGTATTGCAGGACCTTTCCCAAACCCTCCTTTTGATCCCTTTGTGTCATGTCCTCTAGGAGTTATACCAAAATCAGAACCTGGAAAATTTCGAATCATTCATGACCTTTCTTATCCAAAAACAAATTCGGTTAACACCCATATTCCAAAAGCAAATTCAGAAGTTCATTATGACTCGATTGACTGGATTATAAATTTAGAGCAAAAAGTAGGCAAAAACTGATATTGAAGACGCATTCCGAATCATTCCAATTTGTCCAGAGGATTATCATTTATTAGGGTTTTCTTGGCAAGGTCAATATTACTTTGACAAATGTCTCCCAATAGGGACAAGTAGTTCTTGCCAGATATTTGAAAAATTCAGTGTAGCTTTACAGTGGATACTACAATCAAAGTGTGGGGCAGGGGGAATGTCGCATATACTGGACGACCTTTTCTTTATCGCACCTGCTAACTCTTCAAAATGTAGGAATAACAAATTTTCTCTTTTTGTGCAAAAACATTGGAGTCCCTATCAAAACGTCCAAAACATAGACTCCAACCACAAAAATTATCATTTATGGTATTGAAATTGACTCAGACAAAATGGAAGCACGGCTACCGGTCGACAAAATTGACAAGATTAAAAGACATCTAGTAGAACTTTTACAAAAAGATCAAACTACATTACGTGAACTACAATCTCTGATTGGTTTACTCAGTTTTGCTTGCTCAGTAGTGGTTCAAGGGGGTGCTTTCCTCCGACGTATGATTGATCTGACTTGTGTAGTAACTGAACCTGCATCGCACATACACTTAACCAGGGAAACAAAAGCAGATATGGAAACATGGCTATCTTTCATAAGCTGCTTTAACGGAAAGTCAGTTTTTCTTCCTCAATAGTGGTTTTCCACAGATCATCTTACTCTTTATACAGATGCATCAGGATCATTGGGCTTTGCTGCAATTTTGGGTCATGATTGGTTTGCTTCTCACTGGGATTTTTTGCAGAAAGATTGTCAAATTGCAGTCAAAGAGTTATTTCCCATTGTACTACCCATAGAAATATGGGGGAGCAAAATCAACAATAAAAGAATCCTATTCATGTCTGATAATATGGCAGTAGTGCAGATCATTAACAAACAAACTTCAAAAGACAAAACAATTATGAAATTGGTACGCCGCTTAGTGTTAGCAACATTAGAATACAACATTCATTTTCGAGCAAAACACATTCCAGGAAAATTTAATGTCACTGCTGATCGCCTCTCCCGTTTTCAATTTCAGGCAGCTTTCCAGTCTGCACCTCACTTAAACCGCCAGCCAACACCAACCCCTCAAGTCAGCTTGATCATTTGAATTCATCAGCTTCCAATCTTCTTTCAAAGGCACTTTCAAAGAGTTCAAGCACAGCCTACAAAAGATCATGGGAGATGCTATTGGGCACATTTCCTTCCCTTAAATCCTTGCCTGTCTCCCCCTCCCCCCCCCCCACACACATGTTATGTAACTTTATTTCTGACTTTTTTGACAATGGATATTCTCCAAATAGCATTGCAACACATGTATCAGCAATTAGCTATGTACATAAATTGTTAGGGATGACCGATCCATCGGACACATTTCTGGTAAAAAAGGTCATGCAAGGTTGCCACCATTCGGCCCCCCTGTAAAGATTCGAGACTACCCATCACAGGTTCCATTCTACTCAAGTTAATACAGTGGCTTCAGTGTACTATTTTGAATCAGCATCAAAGAATTCTTTTAAAGTCAGTTTTTCTTCTTGCATTCAATGCATTTCTGCGGTTAGGTGAAGTAGTGGTTAAGTCAAAAAGTCTATCTAGCACAGTTATTCAACGAGAAGATATTTCATTTGTCTTAGATGACAACTCACCCATTGAAGTCTTGATTGTGTTGAGGCACTTTAAAACAAATAAAACAAAGGACCTCTTCCAGATCCACTTGAAGGCCTTAAAAGACAACATCATGTGCCCCGTGAATGCCTTGTATGAATATGTAAATATGTTTGGTCATCATACTGGGTCTCTTTACCAATTCACTGGGGGGGGGGGGGGGGGGGCAGTCCCATATTCCTTTGTAGCTAAACATCTCCAAAATACAATTCAATTCATTGGTCTCAATCCTGCTCTGTACAAAGGCCATAGTTTCAGGATAGGAGCAGCTACACATGCTGCAAGGTTAGGCTTTTCTGAAAACAGTATTCAAAAGATGGGTCGCTGGAACTCAGATGCTATTCGTAGGTACGTTCGCCTTGAAAGCTTTGTAATATGTTTTTTTGTACATAATACAGTGTATAATTATCTTTGTTTGAATAGTAAGTAAGTACAGGTCAGATTTTAACTGCTGTACTTCAAGAACTCTAAGCCTGTGAGGGGTTTTTAATCCACCAGGTCAGAAGTAAACTGCTGCGGGATTATAAACCATTTATTCTTGTACAAGTGCACACAGGTCAGAAGTTAACTGCTGTGTAGCTTGAATTATACACAGGTCAGAAGTAAACTGCTGTGTAGCTTAAATTATACACAGGTCAAAAGTAAACCGCTGTGTAAAAATGTTTTTTCATGTTGACATGTAGTGACATTTATATTTGGTAAAATGATTCTTGCCTTGTTGATGAAAATATTTGTAGTGCCATGTGGTAATCTAGTCCCCATCTTTTCCAGCTGTGCCTGCTGGTTCTCAGATGTTTTTTATAAAGAATGGTGCAATGTATGGGCCAAAATGCAATGTTGTATATACATAGTTACCAAAAATTTTCATCCAGGTTGTTATTCACTGATTTATTACAAATAAGTAGTATATGTTTGTCTCTGTTTAACTTTTGTTCATAAACTGCGGGATTAAGTGAAGCTATATATCCTTAAAACTGTTATGAGCATGTGTCAAAATAGTAATGTTGATATTTGTACAGTTCCTGACTAAGTGTCCTAGGGTTAACCATTGCATTTTGTGTTGACTACCCTTAGATGGCTAGCCCACATGGGTTGGCGTTTTTTGCAAACTTTGTTTGCTTTTTGTGGGCTTCTGTTTTATTTTTGAACGCCAACTTTTTACTTGTAATGTATATATGTTTTACAATTTGTTCTGTTATTTCGTACATTATTTTGACATGAAACAGGAGAGATCATTATACAACTTTACTTTGTTATGTAAAAGAATATTTGTATAAGGTTTTTAGATCTCCCCATTTATTGTATTGTTAATATTCAATGTCATTTTCAATAAATGACAATTCACACAAATATTGTTTTGTGCTATTTTATCCAGGAAGGAAGCTGTAGGTATATTTGGATCTTAATAGTATATGAACATGTATTACATTATACAGCATTATTGTTAAATAATATCATTTATTTAATCATTGTGTTTTTGTTGGTAACTAGATATTGTTTTCTTAGATTAAAGTTCACAAACACGTTATATGTAATGTACATTTGGAGTCTCTCGGGGAATTAGCCGAATCTTTGTAAATTAGCCAATCAGAAGCATGTATTCTTCACGTGACTCAGAATAGCGTCACTTGACTGATTTAGAGGGAAAACAAAAACATTCAGTTAATTTACATAAGAAATCACCCCCCCCCCCCCACCTTCCCCAGCTTTCACCACCATTCAATGATTTAACATTTTACGTTTATATAACCTATTTTTAATTTTTGTTTTTATCTTATTTTTCTCAAACACCATCATTAGGTACATATGATTGGGCTTCTGTTTTATTTTTGAACGCCAACTTTTTGCTTGTAATGTATATATGTTTTACAATTTGTTCTGTTATTTCGTACATTACGAGGGCCGTTCAAAAATTACGCGGACTCTGTTATTATTTACTCTTACAGACGTCATATAGAATTGAAATTTCACAGGAACATATTTCCTAAAGATTCCAATAAATTCTTGGTAAATTTTTTTGATTTTATTTAATATCTCATAAAATTATTGCTGTTTTGATACTGCTGATGGTGATGCACGGAGCACGGCAAAAATGTTGAAAAACAAACATGCGGTATCCAAAATTTTATACAGTTATTTTCCATATTTCACGATATTATTCAATAATTTTCTCTAAAATTTCTTTTTATTGTTTTATTATTAAGTCTTTAGATTTCTGACTTAGTATTTGAAGTACTAACAGAAATATTGTAATTTTTCTCCGATGTGACCCCTACGAAATCAACTGCAAATATGACGTTTCGTGATTTGACGGAGCAGCGCACTTTTATCAAATCATGAATCATGCTGGGAAAACGCCAATAGAAACCCAAAATAATCCTAATGAAACATGCTGTAAACCAGCGGAATATCCGACACATCTCTACAAAATGTAAAAAAAGAATTTTAGACTGTTAGACCGTAGCCAAAAGGCAATCCGGGAGGGATGGAAGAAGTTCATCGACAAAACACTGATCTGGACTGTTAAGAATGTAATTGAGATCGACTGACGTTAAACTTGACTTCAGAAATATCTGCAGTTTTGGGGTTTAACACAAACTAAAACACACAATAATAGTTTTATAGTTTTTAAGCTGAATCGGAAATGGTATATGGATGTTTATTCTGAGTGGATAAGGTAACCCAAACTATACAATATCAAATACTAAGGGAAAATATTGAGAAAACGAAAGCTCCCATTTTTTTAAACGCCCGAGACGTTGAAGGTTTAACTGCACCGTGACTTCATTAGATGTCCTGTAAAATCACTAGAAATTGATACCAATTTACAGTATTTTGATATAAAATTTTGATGATCATATATAAAAAGATTCTTTTATATTATTTATGACTTTTTGCTTGATTATGTCGTCAAATATATTTTCTGTGCAACAAGTCCGCGTAATTTTTGAACGGCCCTCGTATTTTGACATGAAACAGGAGAGATCATTATACAACTTTACTTTGTTATGTAAAAGAATATTTGTATAAGGTTTTTAGATCTCCCCATTTATTGTATTGTTAATATTCATTGTCATTTTCAAAAAATGACAATTCACACAAATATTGTTTTGTGCTATTTTATCCAGGAAGGAAGCTGTAGGTATATTTGGATCTTAATAGTATATGAACAACATGTATTACATAAAAACGTTTATAAAATTCCGGGTTCATATAGCCAAGGGGGTTTTCCTTGAGGACAACAGCAATGTAATAACCCCCCTTTTCATATCCACAGCGTGAAAACGAGAAATATTTTGTTATATCTA